CTTTTAACCAATTCCTCACTTTCAATCCTGTCTTGTACCTCACTTCCTCCCTACCTGTTGTCTGCAAGCTTGAGTCTTTGAAGTTGTTCTCCAGGATGAATTTTGGCTGTATTTTCTTTGCACTGATTTTGTTTATCAACATTCCAACCAGTTTCCACCTTTCAGATTACTGTACCTTTTCATCCACTGATGCCTCCTCTACCTTCTCTTGTGGGCTGACCCTGTGGGTTTACAATTATTCCTTTTACTCTTATTTTGGTATAGCTTTGAGAAAAAGAGAAAAAGAGACCAACACATACGACTTAATATAATGTTAAGAGTCTCCATGATTATTTTTTAAAGTAGTTTAGAAGTATATATCTAAGTTTACATAGGAGATTGGCCTGATAGCTGTTGGAGGAAAGTTTAATATATTTTCTTCCAAAGTAGAGGTCACAGCCCAAAGACCTACAGAAACATGGAATGTAGTGGCAAATGAGGAGTAAGATGGGTGTTAGGCAAAGCAGAGGTGGAGATGGTGGTGAGCTAGAGAGGGCCAGGGACTCTCTGAAAGACACAGTAATGACTCTGCTCCAATTGGCCATGGAAATTTGGATCTAACATAGACAGTTCTTCTCATCTTCCTAGAAAACCCAGTAGTTGATTTGCATTGGAATCTCCTGGTGTTCAGATGTTGGCAATCAAGGTTAACTATACACCTGTAGAATTCTCACGGCCTGCTCCCACTCACTTTTAAAAGCCTTCCTTGGTGGACCATACTTACCTAAAGTAACTGCATTCCTGTTGGCCTTCTTCATCATTCATCAATCTCTCATCGTATTAGGTAGCTATGTATACATGCATATGTTTCATCATTTGTTTGCCCCCTCCAAATGTTACGCTCCATGCCTGGAGTACTTTTTTTTCACTGCCATTGAATGAAAGATTATTTAAATTGGTGTACGCCAAAGGTTATCTGAGCCCTGTCTGTGACTACTACTCCCATGCATTTTGCTCACTGCTTGTGATCTCAGAGGACTTACACAACCATTCTGAACGTGTCAGAGCCCTTGGTGTTGTTATTCATTTTTATATGTGTTAATTTCCCAACTAAAAGACACGCATCTTAGAAGCCACAGCTGTATTCTCTCCATCTCCCTTATGCTTTACTCACAGAAAACATTAAATATCAGTTTTTTCAGGAAGATCAGCCAGTGAAGCAAACAGGAGTTGAGCACTGGAAAAAGCATTCAAACTGTTTGAAACAAATGATTTCTGGGACTTTGGCACCCTCATTACTGCTCCTTAAAGATAGCAACATGATTTGGGACAGGAGGCCTTGATGGCTGGTTTAATATGGAAGTCACCAAAAGTCTTGTGCATTTAGGCTGAAAAAAGCTTTTGTGACTCATGTCAAATAAACATGATAATGCAAACACAGCCCTCTGCAAACAACTGCTAATATGACAAAGGGATTCTACTGCTCGAGGCAGTGTTTTAATGCAATAGGTTAGTGTCATTTAAAAAATTCTCTACTATAGGTACCCAAGGACTTCAGTTTTATCCTGCATGAACACACCTTGGTCCAAAACCCAACTGAACACAATCAGTGTAGGTGTTTTTAACTTCCCTGTCCAACACACTACTGTAAGTTCTAAAACATGGGATTATGTGTGAATTGACATATATTATTCCACCGGAATTTCTGACATTATGGCTACAGGTAAAGTTTGATGGAATTGTCACTTAGAGTGAGGTAGGTTATCCTTTTCCTTTCCTAGGCATTACAATTAGCTCTCACTGATACAGAACGCATGGTAGGCAGAGCTACTGCAACCTGTGGCTGACTCTGGAGTTGTGGGTGGAGGGGGTGGAACGACCGTCTGTCCTCGCCTGGACTGGAGCTCTGCTCTGTTCCACACTCCTGGCTCACAGCAGATGTGGGACACTCAACTCCTAACAATGGATGTTTTCTAATAACCTTTCCAGTCCCAAGGTGTCACATGGTCCCTTTTCTGGCCAAGGACAGGATTATAATAAAACTGATACAAACACCATCCTTGAGATTAATACCAGATAGCCCTTCAAATGGGACAGCCAGTAAATGAAGCCTTTTAGAAACTTCAGTTACTAAACTTCCTCCATGAGGCCCAAGGCAGACTAACCAGCTGACACTAACATGGATTGGAATGTTTATAAATAAGATTTTTAGTTATTCTCATGAACCTTACAGTGGGCCGGTCAGTTAGCAAGGCCTATATAATGCTTGTTAAATATCTCAAACTAAGATTTTCAGGGCTCACAGGGATAAAGTGGAATGGAGGAAAGGAGAGAAGCCATTTCTCCTGGCTCGGTCCACCATGCTCAGGAGACCTTTATCCTCTTCACTTCCTAACCCATCAATGATGTTCCCTTCTTGGTTTTAGCTTTAACCTGTCTCCAGAGCATCTGATCCATTACTTCCAAGTGTTTATTTAATGAACATTTTCTCCTGCCCACTCAAAGCTATGCTTTCTAGCATTACATTCCTATGATAGTTTTTATTGGTTCAGTACCCATTTGAATGGTTACCTGGGTTGCAGCAGATACAGGAAAGAATGATGAAACTCAAATTTAACTGGGTAGCAAAATTAAAATTTTAAAAAAATGAGATGCAGTCCTGTCTAGTAGGGAGAAGAGCATGTGAAGACATAAGTACACTCTTATAAAGTGCCACATGGACATGAAGGAGGGGACACCTTGCCCCATCCTGAAGTCAGGGACGACATCAGAGAAGGGGAACGCCGAGTTGGATCTTTAGTGTTCTTGAGTAATGTGTATTCTTCTTAGCTCTTTAACTGGAAAGGATCATTGAGGCAAAATCTTTTTCTTAATATGCTTATTTCCCACCATAATCAGGGCACTCAGCGCATAGCAACTAGCAAACACTTGATAATACTTGAGCCAAGGCATCACTGACCCAGGTGCCCAAGCAACAGGGCAAAATTGAAGGCAGCCCACCCACCAGGTACCACGCAGAGCTCTCTACTCGCAGGCTGAGCTCTCTCTGTGTGCAGCTTTACTCTGAGGAAGTCTAAATGTAGTACAGAATTTCTTTTTTTAAATCCTCAGGAAGACTTTCTCCACTGAGATAAATGCAAAGATAAATTCTACCAACATTTTTCAGATTGTTAAATGTCGAGAGTCCTGCTTCATCATCATCACAAACGCACAGCATTTACCATTTGCCCAGTGATATTCTAAGTACTTAATATATAGTTCATGCACATAATGCTCACACCAACCGTATGTGGTGGGCATTATCATTATCCCCATTTTATAGATAAGGAAAGAAGGCATGAGAGAGGTGAGGTGACTTCCCCAAGGCCAGAGAGCTAATTTTGTGTTACCAGGATCCAGAGTATGCTCTTAGCCACTCTGCTCATCCTTCTGATTTGGGGTGGTAGTCATATCACATCTGTCTTTTGCACTCCGGGATATATAAATACTAAGACGAGGTATTTGCAAAAACAAAAACACAGTGCTCACCAAACTATTTATTTAGCTTTGTTCCCTCCCATCCAAGACTGCTGATCTCTAAACAAGCATCAAAACCCCAAGCTCATTAACATCAGAGTGAGCTTCAATAAGGTGAACACTACAATGATGTACAATTACATCCTAATAATTCAATGCCCAAGAGCCCTGTAAAACTATTGCAAGGCCCGGGATTGTCACAGTATGCAAATGCACTAGGAAAATCATTACCTATTTAGTCCCCTTCATTTTGGTGAGTTTAACATGAGAAGAATAATCCATGCTACGAGATTTCATTTTACAGCTGTAGTAACCAAGTACATAAAAGCTTGAATCTGTCCCAATAGCTTCTAAAAAATTTTTCCCATAGTGTCAGAGGCAAAAATAATGAAATCTTGCAAATGTACAGTTAATAGGACCCTAGTGGACACTAACTTCAAAAATGCATGGTCTATAAGACATTACAAGGCTTGATTCTAGTTTCTGCACTGTTCCTGTTAATAACAATGTCTAATTAAAACATCTGTAAAATACTGATAGTTTTAATTTTACATAAAATTTCCAAAACAACTGTTACACAGTATAATAGGTATCTGCAATGAATAGGTTATTAATGGAAGTATTATTTTAAATTAAAATCTGGTTCTAAATTTAAATTAGTCATCTCTGGCTAATGAAGAGAAAAAGAAGTCACCCATGCTGGGAATACAGTAGAAAATTTAGTTTTCAACATCTATTAAAGCAAATTCACTGTATCACTTGGGCTAAAGGACAATTCTCTTTGTTACTTTCTGTTTTCTCCATTTGACACATCTGATGGATTTCACAGTTGAACTCAGTACTAGAACTACAGCCTAATGTACCTTTTAATACATTACTTTATAATTTAAAAACCACCATTCAACTTTCCTCACAGTCTGAAATCCCCCCTCCCTGTTTTCCAGTGAGGAGACAGCAGAGAACACTCTTCCCTGTGGTAGCTTCTCCCTCCCAGCCCTGCCTAACCTGATGAATTTTTAAAAGGAATGGCCCAAAATCTCAGCTTTCCCTTTCTTTGGGTCTCATCTTCAGTTACAAAATAAAAGAGATTCGCAAGGCTTACTGGCTAGCCGCAATTCAATACCTTTCTTTCTAATTAATGCACAACAAAAGAGGGTTAAAAAGCGATCAGCACTGACTGGTGCGTGTCTACCCATGCTGGCACTGAGTTGGTCAGGGAATCATTCCAGACAGTAAGAAGCTGCGTTTCAAGTTGCTTCAGACGCACACATTGCTTCACAACAGGTGCTGCAGAATGTGGTCCACAGCATGAGGGAAACTCTCACAAGTTAAGTAAGGAGGTGGATTAATTTTTTCTTCATCTGATGCTCGGTATTTCCCTGAAATGAAAGCAAAGCCAGTAAACACAGGCTGCCACCAGAATGCTAAATTAATCATACCCCATGAGCACCTGGGTCATCACAGAACCACCCTTACAGTTTTGAGAGAATCAGGGGCCGCACATCTCCCAAATCACCTTTTATTGAGGCTTCAGGATGTAAACGAGGCAATTCAAAGAAATGTCACATTCAGCCTTTCCCCAGGCCCTCTGGTCATTCACAATGGATAGGCCACAGGTACTGGGTCGCCTGACAGCTAAGATTCTCTTCACATATTCACAGCTGATGAAATCATTTTCTTTCCCCTACCCTCAGCCCTAAAGATAGGTTGGTGATTAAATTAATTCTTCAAAGTGGAAGCCCAGATCCCAGAGGGCAGAGGACTCATCCGCTCCCAATGGCGACCGGGAACAGGATGTGCTGCTGACACGCAGGGATCCAGGCAGCCCGGGAGCCTGGCAGATGAGAAGGCCCTGGGTTGGGGAGGGAAAGACTGATGGATGCTCGCAGGCCTGGGGCCAGGCAGGACAGGCCACTTGGCATCAAGCAGCAGGCTCACTGCCTGACTCTCCCAACCCTGGAATTCAAGATGGCCTGCTGTTCTAGCACCTGACACACAATTTAACACCTCAACACAGCAGAGGAACCATCCCACAGTGGTCACAAAGAGCTTTTGCAAGTCAGAAGGTGCATGGTCCCTATTTAAAGACCCTTTAATGGGTCCCAGTGCCTTTCAGAAAGAATCCAGAATCTCTACTGCTGCTTACCAAGCCCTTTGTCATACAGTCCCAGCGACCCTCTCACCTAAACATGTGCTACTGGCTCACCAGGCCGCAGTTCCAGACTGGACTTGGCTTTTCTGAGGGCCTTCATACCTGCCATTCCCTTGTCATTCCATTCTTCTCACCTGACTACCTCCTTCATGCTTCAGGTCAGACCCTACCTTCCCATCCAAATTAAAACCCCTCCCTTGTCATTCACCTTGTTCTTTGCCTCCAGAACATTTACAACAATTTGTAATCATGCATTTATTTGTTTAACATGTCTTACATTTAAGAAGACTAAGTTATTTGAGAGCAGGGACTATATCTGTTATATGTCCCAGTGTATTCCAAGTACCTAACATAGCGACTAGCACATAGTAACCACCCTGTAAATATCTTTTTAAAGACTGAATGGAGGGAAGAAGAGAGGGGAGGGAGGGAGGAAATGCAGAATGCAGCTCCTGCCCTGTAGCCACCAGGGCTGCCTCTGCCCTTCACCTTTCTCCTTGCTCTCTCATCCCTTTGTGGTCTCTGTTATTGATTCTTCTGCTCTTCCCAGTTTTCTATGCCTAAACTCAGCTCTTTCAACAACAGACATGCTGTTTTCTACAACTACTTCTTTAAGAGGCTTTGCCAGACAAACACAAAGCCTGAAAAACTCTCTTTTCCACATCTTTGCATCATGGTGGAGAAGATGCTTCCTGTCTTATCTTACTGATTGTAACTTCTTACAGGAAGGCAGCCAGCATCAAATGTACAAAGGTAATTAATTAATATATACCTCACTCTCGTTAGCACCCTGAAGGCACCTGTCCGTAGTATGGTCCCCGCAGCAAGCTCTACTGCCAGTTTTCTTCCCAAGCTTAAATATGATTAAGTATAAACTCCTTCACAAGGTTTCTATTTCATCTTACAAGTAAGTAATGACTAAATATTACTATATTACCTACTTTCTGGATCCAGTGGTCTAAGGGACAAAGAAATAAGCTTCTTAGCCATGGAGTTAAAGGCTTTTGCTTAGTGTGGCTCTGCAAGTGAGGTTTCTACAAAGTACAAATTGACAAAAGTGGTTTAGGTGTATGTTCTATTTCTAGCACCTAGCACTGTGCCTGGCACACAGCAGGGGCTCAATAACATTCACGAGTGAATGAAGCTCCCTGCATTGCTCATGGCTGACTCACTCACTGCTGCAACCTGTGCTTTCATGGATGGATAAATGATGAACGGGGGGAGAAAACAGGATGCTATGTTGATGATATATGAAGTCAAAGAAGGATCCTTTTTTTTTTTTTCTAGATGACTGTTTCACATGCTAAACAAATTCTGGTTAGGACTAGTCAGAAATATTTAACAAATAACTGATCAAATTATATTGAGCATCTACCTTGTGCTACCCCTTGAGAAACAAAATTGCTCAAGATGATCCACAAAAAGCACTTGTTATTGAATATTAATTAAAATACGGTTATTTTCAACATTGGGAAGCCTAGCACTTGTCCACTGCACTGAGTTAAAATTTATCAATGGAGCTGGCTGTTCCACGTTTTTAGAACAGTAGGGTTATTCATGATTTTTCTGACCAAAATATCAATGGTACAAATATGCCTGTTTTCAAGAGCTGTACTTAGTTGATTTACTAATTACACATTTTGGACTTGATTGTGTTATGCTGATGGCTTCTCAGAGACTAAACTGATGCCTGTGAAAGGCTGGTCACAACCAAATGACAGTCAGAAAAGATGACAGAGCCAGTGGAGACCAGCCGGGAGAGCTGGGCCCATCAAGACACTGGCAGAGGTACCATTTTGAAGCTCACTGTAAATCCTTAATTACATGAGCTAAAAAAAAAAAAAAACACAAAAACAAACAAAAAAACACTCATGGGAATAATACACAAGAGCAAAAATAGTTATCTCAGGATTTCTTCAATAATGAGAAAATAAAACAGCAAAAGGCAGAAATCTGAAAAGAAAGATACATGGAGGCTGGTGAGTGTGGCTACTTTTCCATATTTTATTTCATTCTTCCTCTTTTCTGCTTACATCACAGGGCTGTTATGTTCCTGGGAAGGTGATCATTTTGACTGAGACATTCGAAAAAACCCACTGTGTTAATTCTGGAGTGACTGGTGTTAATATCTGCAAGGCTCCAATGGTTCAATTCAGGCCTCAGGCACAAGCAGACAGTGTTTTCACTCTTTGTACAGACCTTTACCACATACTTCTTATTCAATTGTAGCTCCATCTACATTTCTTGTTTCTATTTGAAATTCAAAACAGATTTTAAGCAACCACATTTTCTTGAACAAACATCATAGTCAATTTTTCTAAAAAATTTCCCAGTGGTCACTCTTCTTTGACTTTATGTTTAAATATTCCCTTCTGTAAACAGCCTATTAAATAGTTTTACTACTATGATATGAAACCAGGCAAATGAGCTCACAGAGACATCTATGGAACCACTTATCTGCTATTTGATTTATAAGAGTCTGATATTTCTTAGACAAGATTTCTGGCTGTCATGTGCTGTTAATTCCAAATGCAGCAGGTGCCATTTGGGGGCAGCACGCAGGGGAAGAAGGGCTTTTCATTTTAACGGTAACAGCACATTAAGTTCCCAATGCAATAATATTCGGCCCCACTCATAGATCTTATGCCTGTTCTTTCCTTACCTCGAAAGGACTTTATCAGTCCCACTCTACATAGGATCATAAACTATGAGGGCGAGATGGGACCAGTCCAATCCCATCATTCTAATAGGGCCTGAAAAGGGGAAGAACCTTGACCCGTGTCTCACACAGCTAGTTAGTGCAGAGCTGAGACCAGGACCCAAGGCACTTAACCAGTCTATGGTGGTCATAATACTCTATTAGTGAATCCTCCCCACTAAGGTCTTTCCTTTTTCCTAAATTTATTTGAGACACCATATAAAGTAAACCTAATAGTGCCGGAAATACTTCTTAACCTTTTGCCCACCACAAACAGTAAGTAAAGAGAAAAAAAGAGTTTTTCAAATATTTTTGTAAAAGTTCAAACATTAACACGAAGAATCAGATCACTTAGCTGGCCAGTTCCTAAAGAAATCGGTATCACAGTCGTATAGCCAGCAGAAAAATAAAAGGTATTTTCACAGAGCACTACCATTCATGGTCCTTTGCTTCATCCCTCTGTGGTGAACTGTACATCCAGGAAATAATATAATATAAATGCTGTCAATCAGGAATGGTTATCTCTGGGAAAGTGTTACCTCTGAGCCCTCGTCTTCCTAGCTTTGTACAGCACGGGCCCTTCCCAATTGTTTCCTATAATCCTATGCCGTTTTACTTTTGCTTTGTGGCAGAAAGAGAATAAAAATGCCCAGGGCTCTGCCACTTCTGCAAAGATTGTTCTTTAAGCCAACTGTGTATTCTACTATTCTGTTTTAGAAAATGCTTTATACAGAAGATACATACCAGTCTTTACTAAGATGCCCAGCATGCCAACATCCTGAGCCCCACCAACATCATCCCTGCAATCCTAGAAAAGCATAAAGAAAGCATTTAGTGCAGTGTCTTCAGTAAGCTAGCCAACAAACCTTACCAACTGTTTATTAGGCTAGGGTGTCCAACTGTAATGCCATGTTTTTTATTGAAACAGAAAAGAGAAGATGTAAAAGGTGAATCCACATGTAATACTCTGAGGAAGCATTCCAAGTTTGGAAAGGGAAGTATCTCAGAGGTGGAAGGTATACAATAGAGTAGTAATCTTGGTAACCAAACACAGACAGCAGAGTTACAATTACAATTCTCTATGTTTTGCCACACCTACATCTATTTATCTCCCCATTAAACAGATCATGGAAAAATGCATTCTATCCATTTGGTAGTAAATAATCCAGCTGCAGACAGTGAATGAGCTAGATTCAGAAGATAGCTTTTCTGTGGACCATGTAGTATGCTATCCTTACTTTCCATCCCATTGTCCTAACAGATAGAATCAAGTTAAATCCAGATACTCAAACAGACTCTGACTGTCTGATGTTCACTTCACATTTGGGAATAACAGATCATTCTGAAAAAGAAGCTCCTCTTCCTAATCATTATTCAAGACAAGGATAAATATACTTGGTTAAATTCAATGATGATGAATGCAAGGTAATTAAAATTCCAAAGACTGAAAGAAAAATCAAAAAAATTAATCTTGCCCCCTCATGTCAACAAGCAGGATTGATTCAGACCATGCCTGAAGAAAGTTTTTTTTTCCCTTAAAAACCATTAATATTGTTCAACAACAGCCCCTGAAAATGAGTTTCAGAATGTCAAAATCCTTATTCAAGGTCCAACTTCAAACCTTTTCTGTTACAGCTAAACTTGCCCTGTTGAAGAGTGGAGATGGGAGAGAAGAGACAGGGAGGTGGGAAAAAGTGAATGTGGACAAGGAGAAGGGGGAACCACCACTTTCCTGGATAACCAACAACCCTCCATGCAGCTGAACACAGCTATTGCATCCCTTTCCATCTCTCATCCTGTCCCAGGGCCAGCATCTCCTGGGATAAAGAATTCTGAAGCCTCCAGCTCGGATAACCACTTCTTCAGACGCATTTGTCTAGGAAAGGCAGCTAAAGGCTTGCCAAGAGGAACAGGTGTGACTCAAAAGATGGTTTCTCAAAATATTATTGAGCTCAGGGTTTATCCTATTCAATTTTAGGTGAATGATTATAGAAACAGAAGATAAAATCAGGAGGACTGTGATACACATTTCCACCATCACAAGTTAAAACAGCTAGGGAGGGAGTCCTGAGCTCAAGTTCTACTGCCAGCTGTGCTACTAATTAGCTATGGGAATTCAGGCTTGGAGATTCACCTCTTCGGGCTTCAGTTTCCCAGTCTATAAACTGAGGAGTTTTGGACCAGACATTTGTGATGATCCCTCCCAGCTTGACATGTTATTATTTAAAAACTGAAATATAATCCTGGCCACTAACTTATCGTGTGGCAGTGTGCTTTCCAGCTCTTTTCCCATCGAGACACACAAAGGAAATAACATTTGCCTAGTACACTGGGGGAAACTGACAAGATGCTCATGGCCACAGGTGACCAGCCAGGGCCTCCAATCATCCCAGGCTCAGCCCTGCCACTCAAAGGGCTAAGGTGATCCATATCTTTAGCTATTTGTGGCACACAAAGAAGTTCTTCCATAAAGCATATGCTAAGAAAAAAAAAACAATAGTGGTAGAATTCTTTGGTATAGGTTCTCATTTGTGTAGTGGTGTTCCTCAAAAAGACATTTAAAGCATTCAACTAACTTGCAATATAAATGGCTTTTGAACTATGTATATAATATATAAACATACATATACATATATTATAGGCGTTAACTACATATATATGTATTGTAACACACAAATCTCCCATTACGCTATGGAGAAATGTCAGAAATAATAAAAATTTCAGTTATTTAGAAAAATACCACTAAACATTGACAGAAAACCTTGTTTTATAGGTAGCCACTTATATACTTATGTACAGTAAGAGAATGTCCCATTTCCTAAAGCAGTGTTTCCAAGCTGGCTCTCCCAGCATGACAGGTGAGCCGGGAGCACCTCCTGGGTTCTTCTACTTACATCTCCTATCATGACAGCCTCCTCAGGTTCACAGCCAGTGCCTCGCAATGCTTCCAAAAAGAACGTCTTCTCTGGTTTCCCCACGACTGTGGCTTTGGTATCTGTGGCATACTCTAAAGCAGTCACAAATGGTCCAGGCCCCAGGGCTAAGCCATCTTTCCTCTTGTAATACCTGGCTTTGTGGATTGCTATCAGAGGTGCTCCATCCAGGAGTAACCTAGAGAGAACAACAACAAAAAAGAAATTGACTAAAAGCAAGGCTTTTATGACTGGGAAAGAATGTCAGACTTACAAAGTGGCTTTATTCACATCCACAGAAACAAATAGTTTCTTATTAACTTTTAATGACTTGCTGTCTTCTAATGAATTCACAAAGAAGTGCTGGGAATTACACTCAGATACACTAAAGAAAGGTGATAGATTATTAAATTTGGGATTGCTTCAACCTTTTACCTTTAGTGGTTTCAGACACTTTACCCAAATCACCAGGGAAAGAGAATTAAGAGAACTAAAGCTAAATAAGACACTCCAGGGAAGAAGCTTAACTTAATGAGACAAGTTGTTTCAACCTTCCCCAATGGTAAGCAGGAGGCTCCTGAGCCTTTTACAATACTACACAATTGTTGCTGCAGTGACATATTAAGTTAACTCCTAAAATATCTGAACTCCTGTTTCCTCTACTCCAAAATGTAAGTTTCTTTTTAATTCAGAAATTTTTAATAAAGTGTTTTACAAAGAGTTTCTGCTTGCACTTTTACCTCTTATACCTTTTGACTGCTTTCAACATTATTTTGCAAATCAGGCCACCTTTCCTGAAGAAAAAGATTTATGGGAGACCCTTCCCTGTCAGGTCCCTTCCTTTGTCCTGATACAGGACAAACAATACTCTCACATCAGACAAAAGGACATAAAGAGTTTTCCCATTATTTTGATAAGCAAATTCTACCTATAGCTAAGGATCCTCATTAGATAAGCAAATTCTACCTACAGCAAAACAACAAAACAAGTCAAAAAGTCCCCAGAAATTTAATACTCATTTTCCAACACCTAACCTAAAACAACTGCCATCCATCACAATAATACAGCCTTTAGTCACATGGCAGAAGTACTCATGCACATATTATCATCTAATGGCATGTGGGACATGATATATTTCTTAAACCGCTTTTAACCAATGTAATAAATGATCTCACTAGCTTAATTTACTTTAAGTCATCTACTTGGTTAAAATATTTAGTATGTCCATCAAGGAAGAATTCATCATATCTTACCCTTCACAATTATGAGTAATTAAGCGCTCAACTATGACACTGCTAAATTATTTTTGTCAGTGGGCATGGAAATGCCTTCCTGTGGGAGACGCAGAATTCAGACATTTATGATTAAATATTTTATTAAGTAAAAACCAACACTATTACAGGGCCTTACTGTTAGTTACTACAGATTGCTCACAGCACTGGACAGATCCTTCAAATTTATTCACTAATATTAACACAAATTTATTTCTTAAAGCTGCTCTTGAAATACAACTATTAGGAAACCTGGCAAAGCCACTCTGTTGGCCTTAAAGACCTACAGCTGACAGCAATGAGTTACTAACGGGTGACTTATCTATCTCCTCTCCTGTCACCCCACCCCCAAGTCCACTTATTTGCTACTCTACCACGGAACTAGAATTCTTTATGCAACAGACCTCAAAATTGCTTTCCACTTATATAGCTAAACTGAAAACTCATTTGATTTAGCTTTGTTAATATTTTATTATATATTAACTGGGGATAAGACTTATCAGCTTGATTGATGTGTGCACTTAATTCCCATGCAGTACTTTAATGCCTTCCCTGGAACAGCTGAAACTGTGGGTTCCTCTACACTTCTCTAAATGGGAATTGGTTCTACACCAGGCTGGAGAAGTATTATACATCTCTCAGGGAAGCAGTTCTCCTTCTACTGTTCTCTGCACAGTATAAGCTTTACTGAATCTTTGAAGAGTCAAGGCATACTGAGGATGGACTGAAAAGTAAAGGTTTTCTAGGACGTGGATTAAAAGATCTTTTATAGTTAAACATTTTTTAAAATATCAGAGCCACCCCAATACTTGGAGTATTTTTATACTTACTAGACAGGGCAACAAGAGGTTGGCTGTGACTATGGCTTGTCCCCCCAAAATTCACGTGTTGGGATATTAATTCCCAATGCAACAGTGTTGAGACAGGGGCCTTTAAGCAGTGACTAGGTCATGAGAGCTCCACTGTTATTGAGGAAGTAGGTTAGTTATTGCAGGCATGGTTAGTTATTCCTGATCAAAAGGATGAGTTTGGCCCCCTTCACTCTCTTGCATGCGTGCTCTCTTGACCTTCTGCCTTCTACCACAGGATGATGTGGCAAAAAGGCTTTCACCTGGTGCAGGCCCTTCAATCTTGAACTTCCCAGCCTCCAGAACTATAAGAAATAACTCTGTTCTTTATAAATTACCTAGTCTCAGGTATTGTTATAGAAGCACAAAATTTTAAAAGATAGTTGTTTTTAATACAGAGACAATATATCAGCAGAAAATCTGAAAATTTTTTGTCTAACTATAAGACTACTGGAGGCCAGGCACGGTGGCTCACGCCTGTAATCCCAGCACTTTGGGAGACCAAGGTGGGAGGCTCACTTGAGGCCAGGATTCCAGACCAGTCAGAGAAACTCCATCTCCAAAAATAATATATATGTAATTATTATAAGAATTATGTGACTTGCTTTATTGTGATACTCACTTTATTGCAGTGATCTGCAACCAAATTCAAAATATCTCATAGACATGCCTGCATTTGGAAGAATACTAGATTGGTTTTTGGGTTCTGGGTTTTTTGCTTCTGCAGTAAAGCAAGTCACGTAATTATTTCTTATAATAATTACATATCTATAATTTTTTAAAAGGCACAAAGAAGGTCTAATTCAAAAATTTCTGGTTATAAATTCCATGTAGGTGAATAAATAAAGTGTAAAAAATCCTAGCCGAGGGAGCAGGGCTACCATATAAAAATCTCAGGCACAGCAGCAAGAGAAAGCTGAAGGGGTGATTTAAATTTAGAGCCACACAATTCCTCGAAGCCCTAGAACCAGAAATATCATTTGACCCAGTAATCCCAAAGGAATATAGATCATTCTATTATAAAGATATATGCACGCATATGTTCACTGCAGCACTAGTCACAAAAGCAAAGACATGAAATCAACCCAAATGCCCATCAATGATAGACTGGATAAGAAAATGTGGTACATATACACCATGGAATACTATGCAGCCATAAAAAGGAATGAGGTCATGCCCTTTGCAGGGACATGGATGGAGCTGGAAGCCACTATCCTCAGCAAACTAACACAGGAACAAAAGACCAAACACTACATGTTCTCACTTATAAGTGGGAGCTGAACAACGAGAAGACATGGACACAGGGAGGGAAACAACAAACACTCGGGCCAGTCGGGAGTGCCGGGGAGGGAGAGCATCAGCAAAAATAACTAATGCCTACTGGGCTTAATACCTAGGTGATGGGTTGACAGATGCAACAAATCATCATGGCACACGTTTACCTATATAACAAATCTGCACATCCTGTACTTGTACCCCGGAATTTAAAATAGAATACATAAATTTAGAGCCACAGAATATTACTGAAAGAGACCCAGAGAAACATCAAGTCCAACATGACCTATTTTACAGATGAGATCATCTGAGATGCTGGCACCAATCAAGAAGAGCTAGAACCAGTGCTGGAACCTGGAACCTGAAAACCAATCTGGGATTCTCCCAAATACTGGGATGTCTATAAGATATTTTGGATTCAGCTGCAGACCACTGCAATACAGCAAGTATCACAATAAAGCAAGTCACATAAATTTTGGTTTTCCATAGTCTATTAAGTGTGCAACAGCACTGTGTACAAAAAAAAATGTACGTATGTTAATTTAAAAATACTTTATTGCTGAAAAATGCTAACAATCATCTGAGCCTTCAGGGAGTCGTAATCTTTTTGCGGGCAGGTCTTGCCTCGATGTTGATGGCTGCTGACGGATCAGGGTGGTAGTCATTGAAGGTTGAGTCACTGCAGCAATGTCTCAAAATAAGACAACAATGAAGCTTGTTGCATCAATTTTAATCTTCCTTTCATGAAAGAATTCTCTGTAGTATGTGATGCTGTTTCACAGTATTTTACTCACAAAAGAAACTCTTTCAAAATTGTGAATCAATCCTCTCAAGCCCTTCTGCTGCTCTATCAGTTAAGTTCATGTAATATTCTAAATCTTGTGTTGTTATTTCAATAATGTTCGAAGCATCTTCACCAGGAGTAGATTCCATCTTAAGAAACCACTTTCTTTGCTCATTCAAAAGAAGCAAGTCCTCATCCATTCAAGTTTTATCATAAGATTGCAACAATTCAGTCACATTTTCAGGCGTCACTTCTAATTCTAGTTATTTTGCTATTTCCACCACACTTGCAGTTACTTCCTTCACTGAAGTCTTGAACCCCTCAAAGTCATCCATGAGGGTTAAAATCAACTTCTTCCAAACTCCCATTGATGTTGACATTTTTACCTTTCATGAATCACAAATCTTCTTAATGGCATCTAGAATGCTGAATCCTTTCCAGAAGTTTTTCAATTTTCTTTGCCTAGATCCATCAGAGGAAATCATTGTCTATGGCAGCTATGGCCTTACAAAACGTATCTTTTAAATAGTAAGACTTGAAAGTCAAAATGACTGCCTGATCCGTGGGTGGCAGAATGAGTATTGTGTTAACAGGCATGAAAACAACATTGATCTCCTGGTACATCTCCAACAGAGCTCTTGGGTGACCAGTTGCTTTGTCCATGAGCAGTAATATACTGATGGGAATCTATTTTTCTGATCAGTAGGTCTCAATAGTGGGCTTGGAACATTCAGTAAACCATGCCATAAACAGATGTGTTGTCATTCAGGCTTTGTTATTCTATTTACAGAGCACAGGTTTTAACTTAAGTCACCGGCTGCATTAGCCCCTAACAAGAGAGACTGCCTGTCCTTTGAAGCTTTGAAGCCAGGCATTGACTTCTCCTCTCTAGCTATGAAAGTCCTAGGCAGCGTATTTTTCCAATGTAAGACTGTTTCATCTACATTGAAAATCTCTTGTTTAGTGTAGACGCCTTCATCAATGATCTTAGTTAGATCTCTGGATAACATGCTGTAGCTTC